ATAATGGAAGAGGACTTCACAATTTGCTGAGAAAGATTTACAAAGATACCATAATTACAGTTAATATCCATAGCATGTGTACTCAAACAAACTGACTTGCTGGACTCTCTTCACCCAAAATCCATGCAGTTTTCTGCATTAAATCACCATGGGGTAGCTTTAATCCAAGAAGCTGAGTGACACAATTTCCTTCTGAATAACTGTCTAACTGTAGTCTATTAAGGAAGGAATTCAACTGTTTACTCGATATATGAACTAGGCAAGAAACTAAATACTTCAGATAGTACCCAGCCCACTGTTTTGAGTATATAACAAAACCAGTCTATGACAGTATAAAACTGATAGTGTATGGCCAGAGTTGGATGTGGTCGAACTGGAAGTGGTTTAGATGACAGACTGATGTCCCCATCTTTCCCTTTTACAGGAATGTTGGATGTTTCTTGCATGTCCTCTTTTTGGCTAGGCAAGTGACAGAATTGCAGTTAAGAGGGCAAAGAAGTGCTCCACAAGGACACAACCACAAAAAGGAAGAGAGCCAGGATGGAGCTTGTTTTACCACCGTCCTCTTGGTCTTCCCATCCCTGTGATTTTTATAAGCTGAAGTTCACTAGTTGCCGTGGCCCTTGCAGGTAACATTTTTTCCAATTACTACCAACTTTGTCACATAACATTTTCAAAGATTTGAAGGTGACATATAGAAAAATCTCCTTACTTCTTAGAAGTGCTTCAGTGAGAATGTTGCTATTTATATGTGTTTGTGTTTTGGGGTGTGGAAGAGCTTGGAGAATTAAGAAAAAGTAGAACTATTTAAAAGTGAAGTTAATGATTCAACAAGGGGATGTTCCCTTCCAGGTTAAGTCTGGTTATATATTATAATTGTACAAATAAAGCATTTGGTCCAGATCTATCTTACTCCTCCCTAGGCCTGCACTGTCAAGGCTGGCTCTTTTTTTTTTTTTTTTTTTTTGCATAAAGATGTGGCTTTTTCTTGAGATCATCTTTTCTATGGGGATACTAATTCCTGGAAAAGTCAGCTTGAAATTGCCATATGATGGGTGAGTGTGAATGGGGTATTATGAAGATTGTGCATGCGGTGAAATTCCCAAGAACCGTGTAAGAATAACAATTATGAACTGAAAACCTGGAGGTAGGGTTACTAAGCTGTAAGCTTCATAAGATTTGGAAAGAAAACATAAAGATGGGAAATAAAGAAAGAGTGAACCAAATCCAAGCCAGCAAAGATATGGCTGCAGCCATAGGAGACAGAATGACACCCAAATGCAACTCAGGATGCTCTGCTTCCATTAGCTGAAATTCATTTGGCTTATTCTCTCTTATAATGAACTTTGAAATCAGATGCTGTAGGAATAAAATCCTTTCTCAGAGCATAAAGTGAGGGGCATGACTGAGCAAAATTATATCCATTAATAAAGGACAGCTGAGGTTATGTGGAAAAGATGGTGTCTCAAAAGCAGCTCATATACTGAACCCCTGTTGGGGATTTGTAACAATAACAAAAAAAAGGTAATGGAGTTGGTCCAGATAATCTTCACCCCAAGTTGTTCAGAGAATGAGATTATCACATTTTTTATTACTGCTTAATGTTTTTTAAAAGGATGAAATGTCTAGTTTTGCTGTATTGTTCTCAGTTCTGTTTCATAAGTAAATGAGTGATACAAAATTATGCTGTTTGCCTATCTAAACTATTTTGTTTCATTCACCTGTGCTGGTTTTGGCTGAGCTAGAGTTAATCTTCTCTATAGTAGCTAGTATGAGGCTATGTTTTGTATTTGTGCTGAGAAGATACTGACAACATGCTGATGTTTTAGCTGTTGCCAAGCAATGTTTACATTAAGCCAAGGACTTTTACAGTTTCCAACACTGCACCCATGTTCCCAGCTTCTTCTCTACAAGAAGCTGGGAGGGGACACAGTCAGAACAGCTGACCCAAACTGACCAAAGAGACATTTCATAACATAAGTCTTCATGCTCAGTATATAAGCTGAGGAGAGTTTGCTGGGAGGGGTATTGCTGCTGAGGGATGGGCTACTGATCAGCAGGTGGTGACCAATTGTTGCATTATACATCACTTTTTTGGGTATAATTCTGGGGGGGGGTGGGTGGGTTGTGAGCAAATGTTGTGTTGTGCATCACATGTTTTTGTATATTCCTTTATCAGTAAAATTGTTATTTCCTCTCCCTTTGCTGTCCTATTAAACTGGTTTTATCTCAACCAACAAGTTTTTTTCCAACTCTCTGTGCCATCCCACTTGGGGCAGGGGGTGAGTGAGTGGCTGTGTGGTGCTTAGTTGACAGCTGGGGCTAAACCACGACAACCCTCATCTTTAAGCTGTTGGGATTTGCAGGAGTGGAGGCCAGCTATCCACATATGACTTTATACACATGATTTTCTAAAGAAACAAAGTAGCCCAGTATTGAATGCCTCTAGACTAATTATATCCCTCAACAGAATTCAGCAGATTCTTGGTAATGTAGTGTTCATTTTTGTTTCTAATTGCTGTCCAGGACTGAACCTGTTGAGTACTTGCATGGGATTTAAAACCACACTTTATCAAATGGTCAGTGTGACTTTGGGTTGGCAGCACCTGCACATAGATTAAATGACCAGTAAAGCCCATTTTCAGAGTCATTTGTTCTGTTCAACAACTTATATGAAATATCCAATCTATGAGCATCCAAGAAAATGCAGCTTGTGCTGAGAACAGTCCTTTAATTTGGTAAGAAAGGTTACTTAACTCTAGCATTTTAAAAAATGTTGTTCTCCTGTGGTCACATGGGCTGACATTGCACTTCTCCACTGAGATTCCTAGTCCATAATCATAAGCGAGTGTGTGCTTTCTAATCTTAGTTTACTATTAAAAATTATTTGTCTCCACACTGGCTATTGTAAAAGGTTTATCAGTAAATAAGAGCTGGCCATCTGGCAGCAATCTGACTGTCTGGCATTTCTTTCATTTGGTGTAATTAAGACATAATGTCAATGAGGATAGAAAGATATTACAGGATATTGTTTCCCTTCCTGATAGACAAAGAGCAAAACAAGCCCATGCATTTAGAGAGAATAAACTCTGAACTGCAGCTGAGATATTTATTCTCCTAGCAAAGATGTTTATCCTGCATCTACAAGGTTTATTACAAAGATACCATGGCTGTTGTACCAAATCGTTAGCAATGCAAATGTAATCATTTTGCCCCATAGATGAGGGTCCTACATGCTAACAGCATCTCCTGAACCAGTAGTGAACAGTCCATTTCAACTATCAAGTTCTATGTTTCCCTATCAGCAAAGGTGACTTTTTGAAGAGAGATGTCAAAAAACCAAATCCCCCTGTTTTTCAGTGCATAATGTGACGGAACAGTGAATGCTATTTGCATGTATATTAAGCTGATAATTGTACATTTGTGTATGGAAGCAAAAATGATAGCAGTTGCAGTTCAGATGATGAGAGCATATTATATTGATGACCATGACCGTGGCTTTAATAAAAAGCCATTCAAGGCTTTTGCAACAAGAATTTCTGTTACAAAAGCTTTAAAATGTGACCTGTTCTTTTTTTGTACTTGTCCCGTAAAGGCTCCAAGGCCCACCGAAGTCACTGAAGGAGACTGCGAACAGTAGTTGTTGGCTACTAGCAGATATGAACATTTCTCGTGTTCCCCGTTCTATCACATCAGCAGTGGGTAACTGCTATCTCACCTTTGAGTAATGCAATGTAGTCAGCAGAATCCACTCCTCATTATGAAACCCTTTCATTAGACACGTCACACTTGCTAGCAGTGCTGGAAAGTTGATCTGAACACTGGAAAAAAAAATTAGAAAAATAATAAAAATAAGGGTTTTTTTTAATAGAAGATAGAAATTGGCTCTTTCTGCATTTCTAACCATTTAAATTTGTTCTTTGTAAACTTTTAACGTATTTTTCAGGTTAAGCCTGTAGTAAATGAAAGTTTCATGGGGACTTCACGAAAATACATATTCAGACACCAGATGTGTGTCTTTTCCAGAAATATAAAATGATACATCCTATACTAGAATTTTTTTTGCTTCCTGCAAAATGAGTAAGAATATAGAATCATAGAATCATAGAATGGTTAGGGTTGGAAGGGACCTTCAAGATCATCTAGTTCCAACCCCCCTGCCATGGGCAGGGACACCCTGAACTAGACCAGGTTGCTCAAAGCCTCATCCAGCCTGGCCTTGAAGACATCCAGGGATGCGGCATCCACAACATCTCTGGGCAACCTGTTCCAGTGCCTCACCACCCTCTCAGTGAAGAATTTCTTCCTGATATCTAATCTAAACCTCCCTGTTTTCAATTTGTACCCGTTACCCCTTGTCCTATCACTACAGGCTCTTGTAAAAAGTCCTCTCCCAGCACCCTTGTAGGCCCCCATGAACATGCAGTTCTGGAAACCACACTATTCACAATTTGTGAAACAAATTGGCTATTCTCATGACAACCAGTTTGTGAACATGTCAAGTTCTTAGTATTGTTCATTTGTCATAGCTATCTAATGTTTCACATGCAAAAGTAGATCAACAAAACACCAAGTCTATCTGGAATAATTGAATAATTCCTGAAAAGGAAAAAAAAACCCAGAAGTGTCATCTTATCAAATAAAAGTTCATTTTATATTATCAATTATCTTGGTTTGGCCCTGGTCCTGCAAAGGCAGAAGCACACAGCAGGGCTCATGCGAGCAGTTGGCTTCAGTGACACTGGCATGGTGAATAAAGAATTGCCACTGGAAAGGAAACAGAGCTAACCTAACACTCTAGCAACAGAAAACTCGCATCACTTAGTCCTATTTGTAGCTAAAACATTCCAGGAATTCATCACTCAGACATGTTTTTGTTGGAACAGCACTCAGTTACATGTTGTCTTCCTTCTACATAACAAAATATCTCCATTTGACTTATGAAATCATGGATACTTTAACAGACTTTAACTGATCTTGTTTCTCTGCTGAATTTCCAGGGATCAGGTTTTGCATGTTGTGCCAGAAACATTTCAGCAAGTCCAGTACCTTCAGCACCTTTGCAGCACTTTACTGGTGAGTAAGAATAAACGTGTGCCCAAAATGCAGAATGGGGTTTTGAGCTGTAAAACAGATTTGCATGTAACTCTGGACAGGAATGAAAGTTAAAGTAACCTTGAAAAAAGCTTCACCTAACTTTTTTTTCCTTAGTGTAAGAATTGCTTAGGGTGGAATTGCTCTTCCAGTATCTGAAGGAATTTATGGGCAGAAGTTAGTTTCCTTCCATGGCTCTGTGAAGGTGCTGCTCCATCTCAGTGGTGCCTGAATCAATGGAAACACTAAGCCTGTGCTGCATGCTTTATGAACAGATGGCAGGAGAATTTGAAGGAAAACTTCTTCCATTAATTGATATGCAGCTACTCTATATTAAATGTATTTTCCCATTCTGAAAACAGACTTTAATCTGTGCATTTCTTTCTCCTCTGCACAGCTGGATTTGTGGAAGCCCCTGCTGCCTGAAGACATCTGGGCTGGAGAAGACCTGCACATAAGGGTTCCAGCCCCTCTGGTGCAGGAGGTGAAAGGCAGCTTAGATCAGCATGTGATCTCTTACAAGTACAATCTCTAATTTCCTGATGGGAGAGGTTGGCTCTAAGAATCTTCCTTGCTATCATAAAAGGACCTAGCCCTTTCCAATAAACAGTCAGCAAGTACTGATGATAGGACCAACCTTTGTTCCAAGTACCTCCAACTTGCCTTGACCCATCCAATGTACAGATGCTACATATACCTTTGAGTTTTAAAAGCACATTCCCCTCTGTCCTGTTTGTTCACCTTCCAACTAGCCTGGACTGTGAATTTGGAGCTGTGATCTGAGACAGCCCAATCTGTCTTGTTTCCTGCTGTTGCCTTCTCAGTGGCAGAGGATGGTGCTCAGATGTATGGCTCAGTTTTTTAGTCTAAAGTCAGGAAGCCAAACTTGGTACAACATGCTGTTGGAAAGCATGGATACTTGAACACAGGGTCCTCCCTGTTTTGGAGAGCCCAAAGGTTTAATCAGTGTCACTGCAAAGAAGTCTCTGTAGCTCTCCTTTTCCCTTCCCTGTCTTTTGTTCCTCCCCTGATTTGGAGGAGAGCCTTTTCAAAGTGAACATTCAGACAGTTTCTTCAAAGCTGCGGTTTCCTAGCCCTATCCCTCCCACCAGGCTGGTGAGAATTTCCTGGCCCAGCCAGCCAGCCAGAGACACCCCTGCCTGGGACAAAGTTCCCCACTGTGCATACAGCTGGGAGCCATGAGCAGCAAACAGCCGATGACACTTCCCACACCTACCCAGCCACACATCTTCACTAACTGCCACACTTCTACTTCCAACCAGAAGATCTAATCCAGATACAAAGAGTGTTTATAAAGCTAAATGGGATTAAATAAGATCTATTCCTCACACAGTCCCATTCCCATTTGGAACTGACTTTTCCAGGTAACCACTAGCTAGCTGTTATTTCATATAAACAACTCTGTAGTTATTCAGGGATGGTGACAAACGGCCTGTGGACACACACTGACATTTACCAAAGATCAGTCAAAGGAGGATCAGTGCCACTTCAAAGCTGTTTAGAGTTAAAGTTGATCTTGACATCTTGCATCTTGCCTGACAAATTCATTTTAGAAAGTATGATGCCCTGACAACCAGAGATGGAGAGAGATGAGATGGGAGCCAGTACAAATGATCTAGCACCAGAGTTAGGTATTGAGGACTTAGACAACGTTCCAGAAGATATTTAACCTCTTATTTATACCACGGCTCTTAATTTTCAAATGGTTTCAACTGATTCTAGTGGAAATTTAAAGACTAAACTGAAGTTAGCAGAGTAATCTTCCTTTTTTTCCTTGGATTGGGGCCAGAACTGTATCCACCTTGTGTAAGGTCCTAAAGAAAGAGGTGGGTCATTTAATAGTCAAGCTGAATTTTTGGCTTTGTATTGCAAAGGGATTGAGATGAGTATGGCAATGTTAGAGTTAAAGTTCCTATAACAGATTCAAAGCAGGAACCACCTTTTAGAAGGCAGTTGACATGCAAGGAAGGTAACATGACAGTTGGGTATATAATGATAGAGACATAAATGACAAATTATAATCAGGACATCAATATTCTAACTGTGTCAGACTCTGGGATTTCAATTCTCCAGAGCACTGATAAGGCATTTTGCGTGTGGGGTTTCAGTTCATGGGAATTTGCACTGCCTGAATTTCAGTTTGAAGTTCAGATGTGAATAAACATCAAAGCTCAGAGTGAAAGTCAGTTGTAACTACTCTTAAAAGTTCCTTATGTGCAGCTTCCAGAAATGCCAATCAGAGCTACTGTCAGCAGAATAGCCTATTAGCACTTACAACGTTTGAAATCAACAATGTTTAAGCTACCTTTGCAATTGTCTTATCGCGAGCGTTTACAATGAGCACAGATCTGTAACTGTGTTACAAGGGGCTGGTTGCAGGGAGAAAGCACAGTGATCCAAGTACTCTGAAGCCAAGGAAACAGTTTTATTGACTCCCTTGATCATGGAATCGCACCTGTGCTGTGCTCATTTCTGAATTAATTTGTAGCTAAAAAGCAAGAAAAGCTTTTTGAAGGAAAGAGGGATTTTGTTCTGCTTTTTGCAAATTGCAATGAACACTTCTGTGAAGTCTCTGCAAATTGAAAATGTCTCCAATGAAACACTAATCTTAATTTTTTCACTTTTCCCACCTTTCCCCAAAAGATTGTGTTTTAGAGTTTTGCCCAGAAGTAAAAGGGGTGAAGAAAAGAAAGACAGGAAATTTTTTTTTTGGTAGAAAATTATCAGTTTTAAGAAACTATTACTTTATGGTTAAAACCCAGTGAAAATCTCAGTACTTTGAACTTCCTCTTACATGAAAGTAAACCTTATGCCGATAGTGATGAATTTGCCAGGCAGTCCACAAGGTAGGAGGCTAAATCCTTTCATTTGTTGACGTAAGCAATGTATTCACCATGACAGTTCTGCAGGAATTGTTAGAGATCATTTTCTTTTCTACCTCCCCCTCTCCCTCCTCTCAGAACCGTAATACCTGACGTGCAGAAACTCGTGGATCAGAGCATGCCAAGGGAGAGGAGCAGCCACAGGCAGGGGCCCGAAAGAAGGCTATGTCTACACCCAGTATCACCCAATGGAAGAGGTAAAGAGGAATTCAAGGCTGCTTGCTTTCTTTGTTGTCTCTGTTTCCTAAAAGCCACAGCAAGCAACTCTGTGCTCGCAGAAAGCTCAGCTGAAGTCAGTGGAGCTCTTTCTGGCTTTCTTCATTGCAGAATCAGTCCTTAGTCTTTCACTAGAATCTTGGCCTGGTTGAACTGAGCATGAATTTGCCATTGATTTTCACTAAATCCTTAATTCCTCCCTGACCAAAACCCAAGTGCTCTGTGTGTAGCAGCCATATTGTTTTGCAAACAATATCTGGGGTTCAGTTGATTGGTTTGCTACCTTTTTACCCTATTATGCTCTATCATTCTCTCTAGTGTTTATTCATATAAGCCCAGTATGTTTGATGCTGAACCAAATCTGAAGTGCAATGACTCTTGCAGTCTTTGTAATCCCAGTGAGGAAGAAGAGCTGAACAGTGGGAGTCCTGTAGAAAGAAGTAATTTAAGGACAGGTTTTTGACGCTTTAGGAGAGAATAATGTCATGAGGGTGGGCAGTGAAGACTTCTTGGTGCTGTTTCACAGACCAGTTGGTAAGCCTGGACAAAGGCAGCGAGCATGGCAGTGTTCTTCCTCTTAGGCACATAGTAAAACAATCCTCATGTATATTTTATTTGAGCTACCCACTGGGGATGACTGCTGCTGAACTCAGATGTGGAAAGTCAGCACTGATAGGGAAGACTGTAATACGGTTTTGAAGATTCAATGGTGTGGCTCCACATCTGGTGAAGTCAACAGAAAGATGCCCAATAGCATGGGCATATTAAATGAGATCCAGAATCAGTGTTGTACTGCAGTGATGTACTGCAGGGATGGTGTCTTTTAACACCCAGTGAAATATGACCATGCCTTGGCTCAGAGGCAAGTGAAAGGCCTTCCATGAGTGATCTCACAGACTGAAATAAGCTCTGTGGAAAACATTGCTTGTCTAAGCAAAAGAAAATGCTTTAATCTGGAAATGGAGATGGGAAAGAAGAGGAAACTCCCCATTTAGACCAAGAATTCTCTGTGACTATTTCAGATTTATCAGTGGATGTCTCAGATCCAGAACAGCAACAGTGAGCTGGTGACTCAGCAGTACCTGGGGAAGACAATCGAAAATCGACCAATGTATTATCTGCAGGTAAGGGAGAAACTTTCTTAAAATTAATAAAAGGTATCTTCACAAAAAAAAATACACAGGAGAAGACAGGATTCAGATCTTCCCTAAGACAGCGCTCATCCCAATTCACTGAAATAACGGGAGATGGTTTTACTCCTCTACAGTACAGTAAGATTTGCCAACTGTCATATACACTATCACCATAACCTTGCTATTGCTATTATGCAGTGAAAACAATAAATTTAACTGAAGTTTTGTTTAGAAATACAAATCAAGTTGAAACTAGCTTGGCAACAGCTGTGTGTGATGATAAAGAGTTTTGTTGGTTTTATTACTTTTTACAGCATATAGCCTTTCTGATAGGAGTATTCCATGACATTTTTTATTGGACACTCTAGTAAAAACCATAGTCTTAATAATTGGGTTAGTTATTGTCTAATCTGTTCCTATCACCGAGTAAAATTAGATTCCCTGCCTTTTTGTACTTCCCTTTCTGAAAAAAAGAATCTCAAAGTAAGAACCACCAGTCCTGTGAATGACTAAAATAAATGAAAAAGAAACTGGTTTATTGACATTCCTGCCTAACAGACACTTTAAAGCTCTTGCCCTGCGATACTATAGAGATGGGGTTGTTAGGAAGGAGAGCTTGCCATAATGATGTCTGCAATAACAATAATCTCAGATGGCTCAACAACATATCGCAGCACATCCTTTTCTTTCCGTATTATGCTAGGTTATTTTATTGTAACGTAACAGTTTTCCAAATGATCATATTTATACTCTTTCAGATCAGTCAACCATCAGATAAAACCAAAAAGATCATTTGGATGGACTGTGGGATTCATGCCAGAGAATGGATCTCTCCAGCCTTCTGCCAGTGGTTTGTGAAAGAAGTGAGTCCTCACTTTTCCAATACGTAACAAAAAAATACATATCACTTTGGACATTTTAGTTCTCTTCCCTTTCAATGTACCAAGAATTATGCCTTTCCTGTTAAAATTGGATTTTCCAAGTTAGAACATAGTACAGATACCTGTGGAGATCTAAGTCAAAATCACAGTGTGAGATAAGATATGAGACAATATTTGTTAGTTCATTGTTTCCTCCACCTGAACTGGTTCCAAAGCAGTGGAATATGATAGCAATCTCTCAATTTCCCGCATTGGCTTTTGGATCAAGCCGCTCTGCACTACAAAGCCCCAGTCCCTCTGGAATAATGCAACCCTAAGATATCTTATAGCAACGTTCCACATATACTGAAAGTACCTGGTGCACAGGAATGCTATGTGCAAGTCTGTGCATATGCAGTACACTATAACTGGATACACTATCACTAGGTTAATGGCAAAAGGTAGATATCTCAACATATCTGAGGATCAAGTAGATCTTGGATATCCAGGTGATATCCAGGAGTGAGTAATTCCCTGATGATAGTTTTAAACTAGCTCTTTCCAGTGATTCTCTGCTCAACCATCTGTATTTTTTATTTTCAGATTCTTCAAAATTACAAATCTGACCCAAAGATAAGCAGATTTCTGCAGAATTTTGACCTCTATGTCTTGCCAGTCCTCAATATTGACGGCTACATCTATTCCTGGGAAAAAGTAAGTAGTGAAAATCCAGGAACTAGATTGAAAGTTAGATGTGTACAGCATGTTTTGTTAATTTTAGATATAATCAGAGCAATTATATTTAAACAGAACAGTGACAGAATCATTACTCACATGAATCCTCTCATGGCAGAGAGTTTTTTTTTCTTCTAGTAAATCACCAGTCACTTGAGATTACAGGGCTAGAAATTCCTAGCAAATGTCAGGAGCCTTGGGAAGAGAGAAGGACAAAACCACAGGATCAATTGTTTTTGCATTCTGGGAACGGATTTACTTCCCTGCTAACAGCTCAAGGCTTGGTTGATGGAGTTAGGCATGTCTGGAAGAGTCAGTCATTCTTTGCAAGAGATCTCAACTAGCAGATGGGTCTAAGCACCTTTGCAGCCTGCGACCGGAGGAGAACTGGTCAAATTTTGGGTTATTCGATTTTGAAACATGTGTGCCCTCCCAAATAATTTTCCTTTTCTGATATGGAGGATAACACAAAATGTTGGTCTTCAGCAACTCTCATCATGCTTCCAGGCTCCTGAGCCCAGCTGAAACACCTTTTAATGCAGGAGCTCAGCATGGCCCAATAGGCTCAGCCTCCTGCCATGTGGATCCTGCTGTCCCAGCTTGCTCCCGGCAGGTTTGGGACATACCACACATTGCACTTGGATGCTCAGGTAGTTCAGCCAGGATGTTCATACAGGCAGTGCAGTGAAGTATGCAGAGAGCCAAGTATAGCAGAGAATATAGCAGGGAACCAAGGAGCAGCAGCAAGATTAGCTGACAAAAAAAAGCATTCATCTTCTTTAATCTAAACCAAACATAAGTTCCGCTATCGTCTCCTGGGCACCGATGTATCCCTCACAATGCCAAGTCTTTCTTAGGAGTGCAACACTGCATGGAAGTAGTTGAGTACTACAGAAAAAGCATACTTCTTTTTCAAGCTCAGGAGGTTTATTTCAAGGTGCGTGCAGACGTGTGGAATATGACAGCCTGGCTATACTAGATAAAACATTCTATCGCTGAGCTTTATCACCTTTGCCCACACAGCTGCACTCTTACAATGCAGGAGTTACTCAGAACGCAGAGGTCTAAAATAAAGGAGTCTTTACATCATATTATCACTAGGTCCTATGGATCATTGAGTTGTTATTATTATGTAACTGAAGTTACTCTTGTTCAGGAACGTTTGTGGAGGAAAAACCGTTCTCCACATCTGAATGGCACCTGCTATGGGACAGATCTGAACCGAAACTTCAATTCCTCCTGGGGCAGTAAGTTCCAAATATTGCAGATCAGCAACACAAATGTAAAGCAAGAGTAATAACTAGTCTCTGAAATAAGATGAAGTTCTGTAAGAAAGGAATACTCAACTTGTTGTCATCAAGACATAGGTAAAAATAAAGCCCTAGTTTGTAAAAATATTAAGTCATTGACTTGCAACTAGCATTTATTTTTGTGACCGGAAAATTGCTGCTTATATAACTACACCTCTAAATCACTGCAGGAGCAAGCATCAGCTCTAGGCAGCAAGGTTAGGACTTAGTCTCTTAACAGCCAGTATTTGTGTTTGCCACGAATTTCAAGGAGCCTCCAAAGCTTCCCTGGCAGGTGGTACACCATGGTGGTATCAGAGTGTTTTTATTGCAGGCAGCCTGTAAATGTGTGTTAAATATTTCAGCCTTGTAGCAAATTTTAGTTGCTACCAACAGAGTAAAACTTTGAAGTCCCACTGAGCTGTCTAGTCTCCCTGCCCAATAAACACATGCCTTGACACTCCAAGAGAAGTTCCCCTGTTCCCTCTGAACTGGCGTTGGTATGTCTCTCCTTTCATTCACTTTTTGTATTCCTCTCCAGGTATTGGTGTTTCTTATAACTGCAGCAGTGAAATCTTCTGTGGATCTGGACCAGAATCAGAGCCTGAGACAAGGGCTGTGGCCCAGTTTATTGAAAGAAAGAAGAGTGACATTTTGTGCTATTTAACAATTCACTCCTACGGGCAGTACATCCTCACTCCATATGGTTCCACAACTAAACCTCCGAGTAACAGTGAAGAACTGGTAAGGCAAAACAATCATCTTCTACACTTGCATAGAACAAGTACAGGCACTAGTAGCATGTGGCACAACAGTATTTGCCTTCTTGCCTTTCCTTCAGAGGAGCTGGGCTTAGTCAGGGGCTTGGCTCCCAGAGTTACTGCTGCTCCATGCAGTATCAGAAAGGTTTATTTGCCTCAGAATTAATCCTAATCTTTCATCCTAAATCAGGAAAATTGAACTATTACAGGTAGGGTTCCTGCAATGCAAGGTAAGTGGAGAAAAGCACCGAGTTCTTGCTGCGTACAAGAAGGCATTTACACTTTAGGATGTCAGAACATTATACACACAGAGTTGTCTCGAATGTGTCCAGAAAGGGTATTCCAAGTGTGCTCACTAGAAGAATGGGAGCAAAGTCGGCATCTACTTCTTGGTTACTTGTCCCTTCAGTTTCTGAGTGTTCTAATTTCAGTTCATTAACATGTGTATTCATGAACATTCCAGTAGCTGGAGCACTAGTCAAGAGCATGAGGGACTTGGGTTCGGACTTCATATGAGTCTTCGGAGAAGTCATTTAGTCTGTCTATGGCTCAGTTTCTGAAGATGGTGGGATACAGAGGCTGTGGCAATACAAAAATTGCAAGACGCCAATCACTGCTGTAGTCAGTATCAGTATGCTATACAGCATAGACTAATTCTCCAAAATACAGGCCTCTAGGTTTATAACAAAGCAAATATATTCTCTACCTAATAGCAGAGTAATTTTTTAAGATTTTAACATAATTTGCTATTAAAAAATCCAGAATAATTTGCCCAAATGTTTGCAATGGGTTTCCCTAAAGTCCTGAACTCATAATATCAAAACTTAAAGCTGATCATACGTAAATGTAAAGCTGAAAGAGACAAAAATTTTGGTCCACTCAGAATAATTGCCAGAAGTACTGGCACTGATGACAATGCTGTTCCTATTTTGAACATGCAGATGCAGGTTGCAGAGAAAGCAGCTGCTGCCCTGATGGGAAAGTATGGGACCAGCTATAAAGTAGGATCAACCTCTTTAGTTTTATGTAAGTTTCTTTATGTTTCCCTTTGATTGCTCTGTTTTTCAAAGAAGAGACTCGTTCTTTTGTCACAGGTATCAGTAAGTACTGTTTTGCTGAGTTTCCTCTTTGAGTAATATTTAATGGGCTGGTTCTGTGGAACATCTAAGCAGCAGTCATTTGAATACAAGATAACACTGTACGTTATAAAGCTGACTGTGGGAAGAAGGAAGCATTGATCAGAAGCTAGTTCCGACATGAATTCTTCACAGATACATCACAGAGGACAGAAGGAGATTGGCGATAGATCATCCTGACCCTGCTGAAGTCAGCAGCTAAACTCCTATTTGTCTTCGCTGGAGTCAAGGAAAAATTAAAATCCCAATCAGGTCTACGGTTACTCCATCAGACATTATCACGTGGCAGCTGCTAGCAGTTCTGTGTGAAATCTGTTGGTTTCAGCCTCATTCCTAATCAACTGGATAGCCACACCATGAACACACCATCACGGCTGATACTAGTTGACAGCCTGTAGGTGGAGGACTAGAGGGCCCTAGAGACTGCCTGGTAAACCCAATCTTCTTGCAGTAAGCAGTAAGTCACGCTAGTCACTCAGAACAGTAAGTAGTTGGCTCCAGTACCCATGCGGGTTTGCATATTCACAGCATCTGTCTGTGCCAGTCCCTGAGTCACACAAGTCACCTACTGCATGAGCAATGTGGTGTAAGTATAAGGTAACTTGTCCATGCCCAGGACTGCATTTTGCCAGGGTTTGTACTTACACTGAATAGGTAAGAAAAAAAAGATCCATAAGGCAGATGAACAGGGAGTAGCCAAAAAGTGTTCAGATTTGACCAAAATTATGTTGAAAAACAAATATACAAAGGAATTCCAGGCAGTGTCAATGTAGGAAATGAAGTACCAGAACAGACAAATGACCAATACTTCTTGTACCCCACACTAATCACAGTAAAATGCTAAAACCACAGAATCTCTGGAACTCATCTCCTGTTATTATACAACACCATCTTATGGAGAATTGTTTTACTTAGGAAACTCCGTGGAAGACTTTTAGTATAATTAAGGATTGCAGCATCTAGAAACTCCGCTCTCCATGTCACAGTGATACACGGTTACTGCTTAGTTCAGGGATTTTGGTATAATCTTGCGTTAACTAAAGTGAGAAGTATTTTCAAAGAACCATGCTTAATACATATATCTCCCCTCTATTTTTAAATTCACAGATAATAACTCAGGCTCCTCACGGGACTGGGCTCACATGATTGGCATTCCTTTCTCCTACACGTTTGAACTGCGAGACAATGGTACTCATGGATTTATTCTACCCCCTGACCAGATCCAACCCACATGTGAGGAGACTATGTTGGCTGTGACAACTATCATAGACTCTGTTGATCAGAAGTACTTTCCAGGTGGGGCTGTGACGCTGACCTCCCACAGCCTGGGCCTGAGCCTTTGCCTGAGTGTTGTACTTACAAGGGCTGTTGCTTAAAAACAGCTTAAAGAACCCAGCAAGACACTCCGATGCACAGTGTAATGTCCCTTTGAAAAGAGAAAACTACATGAGCAGAGGAACTAAATGTCAAATATTTCAATAAATGCTCATCCCACAAAATGCAAGCATCCACTTGTGATCTTAATCAGGCAATCATCAACAGCAGCCTGAAACAAGCTCAAGAGTTGAGCTAGTGCAAGTGTGTAGGGACAGACAAGAGGTGTGGCCATGTCACTTAGATTCAGACAGATTAGTGAAGATAGAAACTGCACAAATCCTTTGGAAATACAAAAGGGGAAGGGAAAAGGAAGATGAGGATAGGGTGCTATTCCTACAGAGCAGACCAGAGAGTGATGTCTTTGCATCCTCAACTTCCAAAATTGTGTGACTCGTGGTGACAAATATTCTCCTAAAGTCAGACTCATAAGAGATTTCATTACAGATGGTACGTAAAGAAAGTCTATTTACAGAGGGGTGCCCTTCTTACAAACCACCTTAATCCTTTGGGGCTGACTCTGCAGAAGGACTGGGGCCCGGCTGTGTGACTCTCCGTCACTTGGGAGAGCCTGCAGACTACAGGGATCTGCCTGGGATCCTCACGCAAAGCTGGAAACTCAGTGGAGTGCTAGAGGAAAGGAAACGTCTCACTCCATTGAGTAGAGACCCTCTGCCTGAGCCACTCGCAAGGAAACACCAAGGAAAGAGCTTCCATATTGTTACAAACAACACCAGAGGGTGCGGGGCATCCACTGAAATAGAGAAGACCTATTTTAACCTCTACTCCATCTGCTGTTTAATTCAGGAGTCCCACATCCCAGAAATATGTCCACCAGGCTTGGCAATAACAGATAGTGGGATAGATTTTTTTTTCCTGATGGAAGATGAAGAGTCAAGGGGAGGAGGAGAGGGGAAAATTTTTTATTAAATGTCTGATTTTCTTAGCGAATTTTGAGATTCTGCTTGAAAACTGAAAGTGTTCTAACATGAGATTTTCAACAAAGTATGTCCAACTTTGAGGAAGAGAATGCTTTTTCCCCCCTGACTGAAGGCTAGTGGTGACAAACACAGATCAAGAGCTTCTGCCAGAAAACCCACAGATAAAGTACATAGAGGACTGAAATATTGCTGTCCTCAAATTATGAAGTACAGTGAGACTCAGTGACTTGACTAAGATCTCACAGAGAATCTGTGGTAGAACCTGGAAAAATCTTTTGTCCAACTGTCTTCCAATTCTGCCAAGCGAAGGACGTGTATTACTTGACTATGGTACTGTGTCATGGTTTAGTCACATACTGTTAAAAAAAACCAACCTCAACAAACCAAACAACATCAAGAACAAAAAACAGCCCAAACAAACAGACAATCAAGAAAAACCCTTTAAAACCTTGCAGTCATTTTTCCCAAACACATATTATTGTCATTTTTCCTGTACTGTTAGTTGAAAAATCTTAGCTCCTGTGTTCATTGTCCACAGATTATTACCAATTGGTGTAGCTAAATCTGTCTAACTCCTGCAGGTTCCCCAGAGTATAGTCCTTCCAGACCAACCACTCATTTACAGTAAGACCCGTCTGTTGCTGGGCTCTGTAGCAGAAGGTGTCACTAATTAGCACTTCTCCCCACAGGAACATCACTCCCCAAACTTAGGTTTAGTTTAGGATGTGACTTGTAAGTCTGTACTTGTATATCGTGTGTTTGGAACTGTAAGAAACAAGGTAAATCCATCTGGCCCATGACTGTGAACCGTCTTTACACTAGTGGGGTTTGACCACAAGTGTTTCATAGCCATGTGCTGGCAAACGGCAGTGAAGCTCCCCAGTACCACCAGCAGCAGATGGCAGTACCCTCTGGGGACCGATGCCCACACACTCACCTTGCCAAAGCCAACCCCAGCTCGGGCTGCCACCCAGCGCTTTCCAAAACCAACCCGTGATTACACTGGTATAAAAATGCTGCCAGCCAGGGCTTCTTTACCGGATTCAGACACATTGCACAGCCTGTAAGCCTGGAGCCAGAGAGGAAGGGAGCTGGTTTTGCTGATCTTGGGTATCTTTTGACAAAATCGTTTACCACTACAAGATATAACCAGGTGTGTCCCAAAGTTAATTAGCAGGTTTCTGTGGACTGGCTCAGTTCCTCATCAGCCCCTCTTGTTGTAATAACCACCATCAGGCAGGGGAAGATGCCCCTGCACATGGAACCTAGGTAGGGGGATGGGGGGCCAGATTTTGCCTCCAGCATTCCCAGCATTCAAGAATCATAGAAGCAGAGAAGACTGGGGGGGGGGGGGGGGAAGAAAAAAAAAATATATTTGGCAATAATCATTATCTAGAAGAATGTCTGCTGCTGTCAGCACACCCATCGTGCCTGGTCTTACAGCTCCTTGGATCCGTTAGCAATGACTCACCCACTTTGCACAGTGAAACCACAAATGAAGGTTGTGTGGAAGTAGCTCCTTGTCCCCATTGCCACTGCAGAACACATGTCCTGCAATGTGTGCTTACAGCCCCTGTTAGGAACTATCATTGCACAAGCAAGCCACAACCACTAAAAGGCCAAGGCTGCAGCAAATTGATCTTTGCAGACATTACATGGGCTCTATATTTCACACACCCTCCCCATCTGCTGATTTCCCTGTGTACCTTTTGTGCTTGTAGAAGATGATATGTGTGGCTGACAAAAATCACTGCAGAGAGGGTATATTTTATCAACCATGATTTGCAAAGGAAAATTTCAAAGAAAAACAGTATGGATGTCTCTATTGAAACCCCCTTCATGAATCCATTTGCTGGCTTTCTCTCTCCTGCACTCCTTCATTGCTCTCTCTGACCTTTGCCAGGTTTTACTTTATGATAAGTATGGAAAGAGCCATATTCTGATTTCTTTCATGTTAGCAGAAGCACAGCATTGTCCTGCTGAGACAACAGTGTGATTTTCGATGTACTCATGTGTAAACATATGCAAAACTAAAAGTTATCATGCAAAACCAAAAGATTCTTCTATTCATTGTTGTTTCTCCCCAATAATTTTACCAAGAGCCATGCCCCTTACCTTTCTTTCTCACAGTTAAACACTCAAATCATGCTTGCTTTACTATATAATTAGTATTGTGAAGGATTAATTACTTTTGGTTATTCAGGTTATTGAATAAAAACAAGGGCATCCCAGTTCTGAAAAACAGTGTTCTATATTATCCTTGTCAACATTTTGTCTGTAATCCAAAACTAAAGATTGCAGAAAGGGCCATCAGTGATCTCATTCCATTTCACGCAAGAAGCTCCTCTCTCTGTTAATTTCTCCTCCATGCTATGTTAATTTGATACATCCTCAGGCTCCTAACAAGTTAGCAACACTGCCCTCATTAAGGAAAGTGAAGATATCACGAGGGAGCTATGATATTAAATGAATGTGTGTAGCCTCATTTCTTAGAGCATAACATGATGGAAGAGCAAAAACCTACAGTTTTGAGGGGAGCGTGGAAAAGACCTCTGTCAGTTGACCTTTCTGGGGAAGCACTTGCAATGCAAGTTGTTACTTCCTGATAAACTGCTTATGCTCCAGAAATCCACTCAAACATTACTCCTTTGTGCAGATTCTATTCCAAGCAGAAAGCTCTCAGACTTGACCATCTTCGACTGTGTATGAAAACTGGAAGCAGTCTTACCTGGAACAAACCTACACAGAAATATGTTCTCAGTGTGTTTCAGACACTGTAGATAGAAATGTACTGATTTATGACAGCTGAAGACCTAGCCATTTGTGTCCCAGATCCTTCTAGCCAAAACTCCTCTTTTTCCAGAGTAGTCTGGGACCTACTTTAGACAGAAGGGTCAGGCCCTGAATGGAAATCAAAGAACCCTGATCTGGTCTTGGGTTCCCTCAGCCTGTAGGTATTCATGGTCCTGATAAGCTTTGTCTGTATCTTCTTTTGGCTTCATCCAGAGCTGGATTTTCTTGACTAGATGGGATGTCCAGTCATACCATACACAAAAACCACAACAGAACCCATTGCTTTGATGAGACATGCTGTGCTCACTGTTTCCTTCCACATAAGTGGCTGGCCAAGGCTGCTTTGTTTTCATTAGCACTGAGCTGAGAGGGGACCAATAATAAGAAAAAATAAACAGAGGTTATTATGGGGCATTAGAATTAGCAAATTTGGGTACTCGTAATGAAAATCTTGTCTAAAATGCATTTTTTATTTCCTGCATCTTCATTCCAATGAATCTGGATGATTCTTGTTGGTATAAAATATAAAGGAATAATTTGATGACAACCTGTCATCACTTGCTCCTGTCTGCCAAATCCCATAGTGTCTGTTTATGTGCATGGTAGGCATTCATAAAACCAGCTTCTTTTTGGTAAGTTGGCAAACAATATGAGCGTGCTATTCACAAGGCAGCCAGCGGCAAGCAGAATGAGCAAATGCAGTGTCATGCTTACACCTTTTAATTCACCTTGATATATGCCGGGGTTTAACCCCAGTCAGCAACTAAGCACCACACAGCCACTCCCTCACCTCCCCCCTCCCCCAGTGGGATGAGGGGGAGAATCGGAGAAACAGGAAAGAAAACTTGTGGGTTTAATAACAGTTTAATAATTGAAAATAAATGAAATAACATAATACTAGTACTAATGAAAATACAACTACTAGTACTACCATTAATGATAATAATATGTAATGAGAAGGAAAACAGCAACAGGAAAAAACCAAGTGACACAACCACTCCTCACCCATGAACCAATGCCCAGCCCATCCCTGAGCAGTGAGAGTCAGAGTGTGAGAATGTGACAAAGTGAGTGAGACAGCGTGCCCTGGGTGACTCCCCTCAATTTATATGCTGAGCATGACATTTTATGGCATGAAATATCCCTTTGGTCAGTTTGGTTCAGCTGTTCTGGCTGTGTCCCTTACCAGCTTCTTGTGGAGAAGAAGTTGGAAACATGGGTTCAGTACGAGAAACTGAAAAAGTCCTTGGTTTAATGTAAACATTGCT